CATCACATGAATGTTCTGGTGTCCTGGAGTATGAACGCTTTCACAGGTTTTGTAAATACACTCAGCAAATGCAGCAATAATCATTGCGCTGTTGTAAGAGTAGGGCAATAGGATTGCTGAAGCCTTATGAGCCATTTTGAAGATTGTGAACAGATGTTAGGAGATGTGCTAAAAGATGTATTTTTCCTATATGAAGGATAAGGGGGACCTTTCGCCATAAAATTTTGTATTTGGAGAGAGAGAAATTATCCAGATCTCAAACAGGTTTCGTTCTTCTACACAAAGGAGTAGGGAATTGCAGACCAAAGAGCGATTTTTACATGCAATACTCTTTGTTTAAATTAGCATCATTTCTTAAATCCACACTTTTTCCCAAGGCCAGACATTGCTTCTGCAGCTTGTCCAGTTGCTTTTTCTACCCCATCTTGTGCTGTCTTGGAAGCCTTGTCAATAGCTGCAAGAGAGGAAAAAAGATAAGCAAAAAAAAGCTTGAAAAATGCAACGTAGTTTAATATTTATGATGGACGGGGGAAGTGTGAAAATTACTAGATTATAAAAATATAGGGATATATCTTCTTTAAAAAAAGGGTTCTCTGCAGGTGACTATAGTTGGGTTTGGCAGGATGTATTTAGGATGGGCTGCAAAATAGGAGGGGTCACATGGAAGTTTTGGGTGCTGAGCTGAAGCAGTATGAAATGAATGATGGGACAAAGCTGGAACAGATTGATTTTGGTCTAAGTGTAGCCCCTCTCTCTTCTCCGGGATCCCGGCTGTATTTTGGCAATATTGATACCGCCTCATCTAATGTCAACAAGTGCCCAGGTCCTGCCTTCTTATCACATCATGGAGCTGTAGAGGGTGTCTGCTCTAAGGAGATACTGCCAACACATTTTGACTTTCGTTAAATATTTTAGACCCTGAAGTCGCTAATCCTCCCCTCATTCTTAGAAAATTATTACAATTAAGTGAGAATTGAGCTTAGTTTTTAGTTTAACTTGTTCCCAATCCCCAGAAACGAGATGCCAATGCTTTCCTGATGGCACCTTTCCACCTGTGGGATCATTAATATTTGACCCCAGGCACTGGGTGCTGGCGTGGGGCTCAACCTGGATGTACCCCTGCCCTCCAGACTGAGGAAGCAAGATGTATCACAGGGTTACTTAATCCACAAGAGAGAAGAGCAAAATTTTGTCTGCGCTGTTCCCAGAAGTTTTCTATAAAGGAAGCCAAAATCTGAGTGTCATGCATGGGACTTGGTGGCTGGCGGGAGTCAGCTATTATGGTACATCTGCCAGTAAATGTATGGAGCTACCAGGGAACAGATCCTGAAATCCTGTCCTGTGAGATCTGTAAGAGGCAAAAACTTGTCACTGAAACCAAGAGCTTTCAGGCTGAGAGCGCCTGCAGGACAGAGGGGAATGAGCACTGCCCACTGCTGGCTTGTGTTGAGCTGCTCCATTGCTTCTTGATTTGAACGTCATTTCTCCTACCTTTCTGGCTTGCATCTGTAATCTGGTTGACTGCATCCTGAGCAGCCTGTCCCAACGTGTTTGCTGTAATTAAGGACAAAAAAAATTCATTTCCGTGTGTCCACATTTATGCTTACAGGAATTCCTTATAATCAATTGGCTTTTCTGCATGTTCGCAGAAGGACATGCCCCTGGCAAGAGATAAGGCTGGTGCGGAGCAGACTGAGGCTGTGTGCTTCGCTCATGGGCACCCTGGGAACTCTGTGTGTTGCCAGAGCAGCTTGCTATGAGATTAGCGTTCACCTAGCACCTACAGTCAGCTGAGCAAATAGGTGACAGATAAGAAGATAAAATAAAAAGGAGATAAAGAAGCAAAGAATAGCAGTGAGTTTGAATGATGACATTTAGCTGCAAGTTGCTTATTTTACACTACCCTTGCTTGTATTGATTTTTCTAGCTTATTCTGCTTGGAGAAGTTTGGCCATCTAGCATGCATTTTCTTTGCAGGCCGTTTGGGAGTAGTGCCTTTTCCGAAATGGAAGCAAACGCATTAAACAGAGCAGGACAGGAAAAGGGAGATTTTACAAACAAGATATATATAGAAGAAGAGGAGCAGAAGCCAGAAGTGTAATGGATTAAGTCCAGAATATAAAGCATTAAAAAAGTGAGATGCTATGTAATTGTAAGATGTCTGATAGTTTATGAAAGAGCGATAGCCATCCTATCACTTTTGCTAGAAGAAATGACCCCTCAATGGCATGAATATATTCAGGATGCAGCAAGGACTATTTTGTTTTTCATGTTTTTTCATGTTTCTGGGTCTGCTACACGTTTGTTCCCAGGTGTATGGAAACTTACTGTAACTCCGAAGAAATCAGTGAGGTTACTCACGTATTTCAGCTATGCAACAAAGTGTTTGCAGGATCAGAATCCAGGACTGATACAAATTACACCCTGCTAGGAATGAGGTGCACGCAAACACTGTAAGGAATATACTGTAAAATGCTAGCATAAGCTATACACATATTGACATTTTTCATTCAAAGGAAAAGCTATTATACTTTGCATTGAAAAATTGGTTTCCAGTGCACAGTGCTAATAATAATACAGTGCTTGGCCCTAAAACATAGGAAGAGCTATGACAGAAATGTGTGCACAGATTTTTTTTTTTTAAACCCCGCAAAGTCTGGTGATCACTGCTGGAGAAGAATACAACCAAACACTTGTACTACCTATTACAAACAGGCCATTGCAATCAATGTAGTTACTACCAGAAGGCATTGATAGTCGGGCCACGTAGCAAACATTAATCAAAGGTTAACTCCAACTTCTTAGAAGGACAGCAGTTTAAATACCTCCACACAGCAGGAGAAAAGACCACCCTGAGCAATGTAAATGCTAGATAAAAAAGGTTATTCCTACCAAAACAGGCTTCACTGCTCTAAAAACACTAAGTTTAAAGATCTGGCTGGGGAGTGATAAGGGTCAGCAGATGCTCAGCAGCCGCTGAGGGAGCTGCGGGTGGGTGGAGGTGGTTGCCCATGCCAAGCTGAGAGCTGTGGCCAGCCTGACACCTTCTCCAGGCGATGGCCAAAACTTGGGCCCCAGGAACAGAAAGAAAAGGGGAAGCTGTGTCCTGCTAGCACCGGCGAAGCTCGCAGTGTAACTCTAGATTGTGGTTTCTGTAAGCAAAAGCAGCAGCTAAGCCCCCCACAACTATACAAGGTTATTTAGTCTTTCTTACCAGCATCTTTTGCTGCACCTTCAGCCTGTTCCTTCAGGCCCTGGAAGTTTTTACCCGACATTGTGGCTTCTGACACGTGTTGACACACCTCCGCATCAATAAAATTAAGTGCCTGGTGATGTATAGCACACAAAGTGAGGGGTGTCCTGACCTGTCCTGGTTTTATACATGTGCCAGGAGACCTGCTGACGCTTTTGGGGGTGATTGGTACAATGGGTGGAGCTTGAATGTGAGGTATGAGAGATGAAAATACACAGAGAAAAGCCATTTATTTACCCTCCCCAATGAGAGGGTGTGCCGGGTGGAGATTTCTGCTTCATCGCACTGTCTTTGTTTATAAGTTTGTTGGTTTTTTTTCAAATCAAAACCACAAAAAAACCAAAACCTGTTCCACCACCAAAGACAGAGAAACCACTGAACTGAGCTTTGTAAAAAGTGCTGGAAAACTACTGAAGTAGTAGTGCCTGGGCATGGCCAACTTTTGTCCTTGCTGGGCTGGCTTCTTTCTCCTTCCTTCATTCCCTGAGCTGATCCTCCAGAGAGTAGAAAACAGCCCAAACTTCATTCATTTTTTAACAGTTTTAATCACAATCACCTTTTCTTGTCAGGTGGGATACTGTTAGATGGCAAGACTTGTAATTTACCTGTATTTTTATAAGAAACTGCAAATCTGGTCATCTTTCCTGTTGCCTGCTCAAGTTGGATTGCAAAAGCCCAGCATCACTGAAGGCCATGCCTGGGTTCGGCAGGTAACCCGTGTCAGCGCTAGCAGTTCTCAGGGAAAGGAAAAAAAGAAGCCAAATTAGCAAAGCTACCTTCTCCTAGTGTGGCTTTGTATTACGGGTTTTGTTAGTACATCACTACATTAATAAAAGTTTCTGGCTTTAACCTCTGGCATTTCACAGGTTTCCACTAGCCTTTAGAATTTATGTTTTCTGCCACCAATCCCCAGTACAAAGAAACTTTGTACAAATAAACTGTTGGCAGAGTTGGGGGCCAAAGGCCTCGCCGGCTTTGTGGGGCTCAAATTCCTCATCGCCATTTTCCAGCGTACAAAGCACCTCGTTTCAGATGTTGACACTCATACCCATATTCGTCTTCTTGAGGAAAGCTTTTTTGTTGAGAAATGGGCACGAGAACAAGATGCTGTGGATAAATGAGGGTGGGAAGTGACAGTGCTCATAAGTTTAATACTTCATTAGTACCCAAGTGAGGAAGAGCAGCAGAAAACAAGGTTAAATGCATTCCTCTGCTGCTCCTATTCAGCCTGTCATTTCGGAGAGCTCTTTTCAACTTTTTGCACTGCTGGCACCACTCATTTATTATTTCAAACAGCAATTCTCTTTCCCCCTCGACAGGTTAATTAGCATTTTAATTATATATTCACATCAAGTATCTTTTTCAATTCCTTGCTGATTTCTTTTTTAGAACAATTTTCTTATTTGGATTTGCAAAAACTCAGATAAAAGGCTCGCAATATTTTGGGGTTCTCACATTTTTTGGGCAAAACCGCTAACATAGACTTATTTATCTTTCTCGCCGAAACCTGAGAACCTAGCAACAACAAAACCATAACAAACAGGCGGTTTTCAGCCATTCTCAGCTCCCTTGGCCAGATCCCTGCTGCCGCGATTACCTTTGTGCAGAGCATTTGTGAGAGCAAGGAAGAGGCTCTCCAGCACCCACCAGGCAGCTTGTCGTGGCTTGAGAGAGGACGTACCCAGGCTCCAGCAGCAAATACCTTCCAGCTGCCTTCCCAGCTCTTTTCTACTGCTGGATTTTCAGCTCAAGGGCCCCGCTGATACTGGCTGGGATAGTCTGCCTGAAACGGAGAACAGGAGTTTGGCAGAACACTTAAAACTGATGCACACTTACACCAAACTTTAAACGTGCACCACATTATAGCAGTATCTTAGAGACTCCTTAGCAGTTAAGATAAATATGTTCTCTAATTCTGCTCTGATGGCCACCTCGATTACTCCAGCTGCAACTATTATTCTTCCAAGTGGAAATCTTTGTTTGACCCTTTGGACTCCACATGGGTGTCTGATCTGCTCCACTACTTGCTTTACCTCCTGCTCAAAATTAAAGTAGCACGAATCTGTGAGTAAAGCCTGCACCACTGTCAGCATGGCTGCATGACTCCTCATCTAATGTAAGCTTATCCTTATCATTAATACCATTATCCTGATTCCAAGCAAAAAAAAAAAAAAGCAAAGAAAGCAAATTACACTTGCCCGGCAAACTGACGTAGCATGATCATTATAATGCAGCGCAGCATAGAGGGAAAAGGGACCGCTGGTATAGTATGTATTTGTCCCATATGATGGGACAAAAAGGTCTGTGCATCAGGTGGCTCGCAGAGCTACAAAACCACATCAGAAAATTAATGGAATGTATTGCATCCTCTTTATTCACTTTGTGAGTTAACTTTACTTTTTTAAAGCTAAGATGAAGCATTTTGAACTGATGTTGGATATAGATCAGAGCATTCAGAAATAAAAAGGATGATTGACCTGAGCAAAAATGAGAATTTTAATTTCATCTGTTCAGAAATTTACAGCAATTTATCCCTGTGTTTTCATTTTGTTCTGTTATGAATATTGAGACTACTAATGTAGATTGGATCTACTTCTGGATTTTGTAAAAAAGTATTTCTCTAAAGAATTTAACCTTCTCTTGGCCTCTAAAGAGATTAATATCACAAGAGAAACTGTTGAAAGCTTTTCCCGAGACAGACTATTTAAGGAACAGTAAAAGTAAAATAGGAACTTATTTCTAATTGTAGATCAATGAACTAAGTGAATTAAACATATGGCTTTAAATTCCTTCCTGTCCTGGTCCAAGCTATAGGTTGACTTACATTTCACTGTGTATATCTCCCGATACCAGGTGTAAGTGTGCGCACAGGCGTTCGTGATGGGCTTCTCTGGGCTTCTTACAAAAGTCGTGGGAAGCATTTGAGCTCACGACGAGCTGGATGGCCAGGCACCGGCCACCTGGGCACTGGTCTTTCCCGTGACTTCAGCTGGAGTTCAACGCGCTTATGGCTGCCCTGGGACACCTGCGGCTACGTTTCCAAGAAAGCCAGCTTTCAAATGTATGGTCTTCTGAAATGCTGTGTCTCCGGATTGGTAGGAGTTAAGCTATCCTGAATGTCTGGGTGAAAAAATGACCTTTTGCAAGAACTGTTCCTCCTCATGAATCCCAGTCTTTGCTTTGACTCTTTTGTATGCTCTTTTGTCTCTGACTCTTGTCAGAGAAGATCTAACCATCAGGGATGGACCTGGCTGGCAAGTATTGTGGGATTGTTCATTTTGCCTTTGTCAGTTCTTAACCATGTTGTCTCATGACAAGAAAAGCTTGGGGTGGGGCAGGATATTATAAAGTATTTTGAAAGCTAAATGCCAAAACACTACAGCCTGTGTGCTCCTTGTCTCCCGATGTCTCCACAGTATTGACCCAAAGCTCCAGCCTCTAAGTACACCTACAGTTTCTACACCTGTTCCTCCCATGCATTACCTCTTTCCAAATGGGTTTCCTGGTCTTTGGTTGCATCATTTGGTGTGTCCTAAGGTCAACTCAGATTGCCTACAGGTGGAAAGTTAGGTTGGACTTTTGCTCCATTCAGCTCTTGGTATCTGCTGAGACTGCAGGCAGAAATGCTGGTTAACGCCACCCAGGGCAGGTACCACAGCGTGCCGGCAGAGCCCAATGCTGAGGCACCTGTGAAATTCCAGGCAATTCCAAAAGTGACCTTACCTGGTAATGCCGGGACGTGTCGCTGACACTGCTTGGCCAGAACCAAGGCGTAAGAAGTGTCATGACCCCAGCAGCGCTGCCTGCTCACCTCTGACGGGTAACTTGTCTCACCAACACGCTGCTCCCATGCCTGGCTCCTCAGGCTTTTCCTCTATATTCTGCTCCTTCTCAGTCTGTGGCCTGTGACGAGCAGTAGGTTAGTTCTGTTTGGGGGAGGGGAAAAAAAACCCAAACTGATTCCTTAATTGCTAGGAGGGGTCCACGAGCCACAGCTCGCTCTAGAGCTAGTTTACAACCCTAAACTTGCAGCCCAAATAGCTGTGAGTTAAATCTAAGGCACTACCGGGAAATTAGAAGCTGTTCTGGTGGCCTTTCCTTTCACACCTCTTCTATGGCATCTTTGAGCACCGTCTCATATATCAGTAACAGGAACCCTTCTGTTTTTATTACTTGATGAAGATGAGAGGTAATCGATCAGAGCTAGAGCTCATGTTTTACACATGAAAATGAACACATGGGGTTAATCAGTTCAGATAAAAATAAGGCCAGTATATATGGATTTCTTTACCTTCTGGTCTCTAAATCTTCAGGCAACATCTAGGTGAAGTGTCCAGTTTCTGCCATCTTCTGGAGCACTGAAGCCTAAAACAATGCTTAAATACTGGGACTTTTGTGGAGCCTCATGATATCCTGCAGCTTGAGTGTTAGGGGAAAAAATTGGCTGGCCTTTAAATTGTAAGAGTTAAAAAGATGAGAAAGGCTTGACCGCCACCTTAAGAACTGGCACAGGGCTAGGGAAAGAAATAAGTGGTCCTATCCTGGGAGTTGCTATGAAAGCCGAGGATGTGAGCCGGGGGCGAGAACTAGGGGAGGGCTGTGGATCTGTTTCTAGATGTGGTGAGAGGAAGGAGCGCGGTGGCTCAACTCTTCTGGCGCCCAGCTGTGCTGCCCACCCCACCTGGGGCCCTGGGGAGAGAAAAGGTGGGGAAGCAGAGCCACCGAGCTTGCTTCCCTCCCACGCAGGAATCCACGCAAAAAAAAGCAGTGCCAAAGTTTGACAGAGACACTTCACGCTGCTAACAGAGCGGTGCGAAGTCGCGCAGGCGGGGTTTTGTCTGGCGTTCAGAAAGCTGAGTTTTAGTCTGAGGGTTGTTTTCTGACATGCTATTAACAGTGTGGAGTATCTTTGTGTGGGGTTTCAGTGCACTTGTAAGACAAAATAAGTTACGTTTCAATGCAGAAAAAAGTGTCAAAGTGGGGAGAATGGTTATGTACCTATTACAGAGAACAATATTAAAAAAACGGCCCTTCAGTTTTTAATCAAGTGCTCTTTGAGTTCAGTTTTAGGACATGCATTATGCAGATACTAAAATAGGACTTTCAGATGAAGTGGTATTTTAGGAAGTGTATTATTACCTGATTTGCATTTAAATTAGCGGAATGCATGTTCAGAGATGCTGAGAGCACCACTGCTTTCTCTTCTGCATCCCAGACAAATGTCTTTGAAAAATCAGGCCCGGCATGCCCTTCAGCCCTTGGCTAGACATAATTGTGGGAGGAGCTCTCAAAGGCTATGAACTGTATCAGAACAAATCACTTAATAAAGCTTAACTGCAGTTTTATATGGTAAGTTATGCTGTTACAAGGGGAAAAAAGAAATGTTTTTCAGCATTTTGTTGGTAGAGTTGAGACAATACTTGGCAGTGGCTGTTCCTGGCTTGTTGGATCACCACGGAGGTCTGAGGGCGAGCATCCAGGTTCCTGTCACTGGGGACAGACTCAGGCCCTGCTGCGCCGGGCTCTGAGCACCGTCTCGTCACAGAGGGATTAAATTAACAGCTTGTATGAGAGTGGTATCACACATACAAGGTCCACTTAAATAATTCACAGGGCGAGACGTGCAAGAGAAACTCTTGATCACCCAGACCGTGACCTGTCAGCAAAAAATTATTTTGCTGGTGTTTGCCTCCATCAGCTTTTACCCGGGGCAGCGGGATTCACTGTGTTTCCCTTGTGAAAGCACCTTCTGCCATGGGATGTTTTCTGATGCATCTCCTCCATCCTTCCATTTTTCAGTTTCCTTCCATCGCCTCTCATTTTGCTTGTCTGAAGACTCATTAAAAGTACAGACTTCTTTTCCATGCACTGAACCAGACAGACATACAACAAAGTTTAATTGAATATTTAATAGATAATCTTCGGGCTCTTTTATGACAGACCCTTCTACTTCAGGAGAAAAAAGCATTCGCCTTTCTTACCTCTGACAAAGGCTGCTCAGACTAGCACCTCTGCTCTCCCCGGCCGGGTAGCAGCCGGTCTGGGAAAGCGAGGGGGGGAAACCGCGGCTGACCCAGCCACTGCATGGGCACAGCGCTGCCCTGTTCCCGCTCACTGATGCGGGATGCTCGCGGGGGAGGAAACCACGTGCCCTGATCTCTGTCTTTAAGGCTCGTGATTGCCTTCTGCAAGATGCATAAAGACTCTGCGGAGCTGCGACCGCAACGGGACTAGACCAGACCTAGTCAGGGGCTATGCCAGGGAGGTGCTGAGCCCTCATCCAGCCTGCGCATCAAACAGTGCTCAGTGATGTGAGAAGCAGGCAAGCGCAGAGGCAGATCTTTAGAAACATCCAGACGCTTTCAGTGCCCATAGTCAAGCAGTGCTTAGGCTCACAGTTCTAGACCCAGGTGTGTAAATACCAGTTAAATCCCTCCCACAGGGAAGAAGATGCTGTAGCACAGCATATTGATGTGGAGTGCTGCAGGCCTCCCTCCCAAGCAGCTATGTACCACCGCGCAGTGTGCCCGCACTCTCAGCTCAGCAATTGTAATTCTCTCCTGGTTTAAGTCCCTTTGAAGCAGGGGCGAAGCCTGCTTGAGAGACAGGCATTTGGGAAGCGGCTTGCTCCTTGCTTTGAGTTACAGCCTGGCCCAGCTGATACCTGCTCCTGCCTCCCATGCGTGCTGTAGCTAGCGAAAGCCCTCACCTCCTCTTTCCCCCCTGGCTGGCAGAACATTTTCTTTTTGCATCCCCATAAAGCAAAGCTTTGGAGCAGAGAGGTTTTCCCCTGTCTCTCTCCAGCGAGCACTAAGAACAGGCTCCAGCCTCCTGCTGCTGGGCATGAGTATCACGGCCCTTTATGCCCCCTTACCTTGGCCTCAGTTTTAGTTATTCTGTTTAATTGGCAAGTCCTGCCGATGTTTTGCAGGACATCAGGGAAGAGCATGCACATATCAGATATCACTTCCTTTGAAGGACCTTGTTATCTCTTGCTAAGGGTCTTTTGTTCCCTTTCCTTGTTGAGATCAAACATCTATTCTGGATGGAAATCCTGTGGTCTCTGCAAGGCAAAGCTTTATGTGTATTGTTAATGCGTAAGAGAGGCTGATATCGCACTTGCTAGATCCTTCCATGCTATGTACAGCGAGTCTCTCCTGTAATACCTTCCATAGTCATCACTATTATGCATCTTAATGAAGATTAGCAGTCTGATTCTGAGGCAGCCTAAATCTCTACAGCTTACGTTGGCTTCTCGTGGATTCGTGGGTGCCCTGCCCATAGGTGAATAAAAGACCCCATTTTTAGATCCACACTTCCTGACGTGCTTTATGCTTATCCTTCATTATTTACAGCAACGAGCTTGTAGCAACATTTTCCCATTCTCTACACTCGTGAACGCGGAAGGTCTCTACTGCTCTCACCCAGCAGCTTATCTGCAGACTGACCGGCTGTAACTGATACCAGCCCCAGTGTTCGTGTTGCACCAGTAATTCTCCTTTGGCACCTGTTACGGGACTCACGCATTTCACAGCAATCCTGCCTGGCCCTGCCAGCAGTAATGCAGTTCTGATCTAACAGGTGAGTGCCCATCACATTTCTTTAATTACCTTTTGGCCATTCATTACACCCAGATGTTAGGATAGAGTTTTCAAGCTCTCGTGTAAGCAGAATAAACAGCAAAGAACAAATGCTAACTGAGCTCAATGTGACACTCACATCCTTCAAAAAGTCTCCTTGTTTCCAATTTCCTCCCACTCCCTGCACTCTCTCTTAAACATGGGGGAGTACTTCAGTGCAATCTCTATTTTTCAGCCGTGAGAGAGAAAGGCTGGCCTACCTAAGCTACTGACTTCAGAAATACAATTTTTCATTATTCCCCATTTTTTACTTCACGATCTAAGGCCCTTACAGTCCTGAGATCCTTGTATTTTAATACTGCACTTTTACAGGAAGAGTTCATCAGTTTGGAAGGATCAACATCTAAAATGTGCAAATAAAACTGAAAAAACAAAAAACTTGTTCAAACACTTTTTTATTAGTTAAAAAAAATACTTCCATGATACCTAGAGATCCCAAGTGCCAGTGCAGATGGACGCAAGATACAGATCAGTGAGTCCGACCAAAACACGCAAAGCGAGCAGGTTGGGAAGCCACGAGGGAGGTGGGGAGGGAGACACGCACCCTGGTACACGCCTGCACTTTACTTACAATCAGAGGAGTCTGGCTTACATATATTGTATGACTGGTTTATGAGGCAAGTGAAAGACTACAGAGCTGAATGTAGTTAGTCTATGGAGAGCGGGATTTTCCTGTAGTAGTGTCAGCTAATATTTCCATGTATGCTCTTGGAGTGCTCTCTTTTGAGCTAGAAGTCCCTAAGTTGGTTAATTGCCTTAATTTTCACCCTGTGAGAGAAGGCAGACAGGAAAACAGTTAAATATTTCCAGTGGAAAACATATATAAATAAAATTAGGAGAAAAATCAATGCTGGTAGTCACCACATAAAAACCCATAAGCTGCTACAAAACAACGAGGAGCATACGTGATGCAAAATTCAAATGAATTATCCATTCCTTCTGGGAACCAGCCACACTCCCGCTGTCACTCAGACCTCCGGGGAAAACAAGGGTGTGATTTTGCATGTGGTGGAAGTTGAGCTAATGCGGGGCCAGGCTGCCACTGGCAGGAATGTCCTGCTTTCTGCTGCCGGGTCTGCCTCCTGCCACGACATTAGCAGCCTGACATTAGCACTTGGGCCGCCATGAAGTCAGTGGGATTAGCAGGGCTCATTTTTGGGACTGGCACCAGGGGGGCGATGGCTGACGTGAGGGTTGTAGGTGCAAGCTGAGGCCTTTGGGAGCTTTGGGCACCGTGAAAACGGTCTGAGCTTCAGAGAAGCTGAAAACTGGGGAGTTTGGGTGTGGGTGGTACTGCAGGTGTTGTGGAGTGGGCAGCCAAAGGCCTTAGGACCAAAATCACAAAGGAAATACCACGTGAGAAGCGTTTGTCGCTTTAAAGTATCCATGTTGGACAATAAGAGGTTGTCCTCCCTTGTTGAAGAGCAGAAATTGGCCCAGAGACTGACTTTTGACCCAGGGCTTCAAAAGGACATTGCAGGTAGAATAGATCAAAAATTAAAAGAACTAATTTAAATATAGAAAAATCTATAGAAAAATCTAAAGCTCTTCTAAAGCACGGCTGCAGCCAGGGATGATATCACCATAGGAAAGCATTAATGATTATATGTGCGTTTACACCCCCAAATCAGCCCAAATCAGGCAGCAGTTTACAATCTGTCCAATCTGCCACTCGTGGCAAATTCTCGGTCTCAAAAAAGAAAACGGCAAAAGTGAGAACTGATGAGCTCAGGTTTTTGCCAAACAACTCATGAAGGTGGGAATGTTAATGGGCTCCATGCGCAGCAGCTCTGTAAGCGCAGAAAGCAAAGCGGAGATTTTTCCTGGAGGAAAACCAGTAACCCTGAAGAAGTCCATGTGTGGTCTTGAGAGCCCGGGGACCGTGGGGAAAGCGAGGGCCGTGGCATCGCCTTACCTCTCCGCCGCCTCCTGCACTGGCTGCCGGGTCCCCCTCTCCCACTGCCCCCGGCTGCTCGGGCGGCTGCGGCACAGCCAGGTCCTCCTGCCAAGTCACAAGCGAGAGATGTTTGTCCTCAGTGCTACATGCAGAGTCATTGCCCTAATCTTAGACAGACTATTTGAGCAGACTGTGCAAAAATGCGTTTGAGCGTTATGAACGCAAATAAAATGCCGGGTTTAATAGATGGCAAATATTGCTCGAAATCCATTTTCTCTGCAGCTTGTTAGAGCAGATGTCTGAGAAAAAGCAATTCAATTTCTCACAGCCTGGTTTAGGGTCTTTTTCACACAGAAAATCAATTCTTCTTCTGAAGTTTTCTTTCCTGTCACTGAGACCAGAGTTTTGACTCCTTCGGCGTGAAGAAATTTGGGAGGAACAAATAAACTTACCTAGAGTAAGATAGATTATGCCTTCCCCCACGTGATCTTACTTACCCTAAGCACTCGTGGCATAGACTAATACTCATTTCAGATACAGCAGTATTGTGGTGCCATTAATGTCATGCCTCAGATAAAATGTCATTACCAAAGGATAAGCTTTTGTTTGTGTTTGCAGTCCAAGCATTTTCACAAGCGCTTTGGGCTCTTTTAGCTACTTGCCCACCTCTTTCAGCTACCTTCCTATTCAAAGAAGAGAAAAGATTACATTGTCAGGCAATTACTTTAAATGTGATTTGGCCACATGGGAAGAGAAGACAAAAATCCTGACTGTACGGGATGTGCACAGGGGATGGACAGAAAGCAGAAATGCACCTTTGTGGAATCAGTCAATAAGAGCAGGGAGAAGCAGAAATAGAAGGACCTCTATAGTCCAGCTCCAAATCACCAGGGAACTCTGCTAAAATTACAAAGCTTCTCTGTTCCCTTTGAGCATACATGCCCAGCAGTATCCCTCAATTTTTACTCTCTTTTCCTACATGAAGTCAAGGCCACCGCAGAAGGAACCTGAGACACATATATTACGTAAAGGGAAAGTCAATTTTGCATGGAAGGGAGATACATCATTTGAATTTCAATATTTTGGAAACACAGGGCCACCACTTTCCCTGGTGCCACTGTTGATGCAGTGCAAATCAAATGTCTGTCAAACCTACTGTAAACAGAACTTTATGCTCCGTGTCTTTTGGGGGATTCCACTCTTCGTTTTCACACGTGTCCTTATTTTCCTGTCCAGTTACAACTGTTCTCATCAGTAGGAAAACACCCCTGCTGCTTTTGGAACTGAACTAGGGAAGAAGAGGTGATGTGAGATAAAAAAAAAAGGAAAAAATAGACCTATTTCACAGAGTTACATAGATAGGTAGAACCCATGAAAATTTAAGCTGGAAATTGGACTTCAGATCTATTTTTGGCAGGAAGGGGAGCCGGGAGATGGAAGCACCGCAACCTGGTTGTCCTTCCATAGGTTTCCAGGTCTCCACACAAGCTACTATAAGAGATCAATTCACCAAATGAAGAAAATGGCCAAAATATGAGCCGCAGCCCAGTACTGATGTTGGCCACAGCTCCAGGCATTCCCTTCACCTCCCTGCCGAGAGTCAGTTTGTTTATAGAGAGCGAGCCATGCACTGGGGGTGTCTCCATATGAAAAGCACAGTGTCATTTTTTTTCCTAAGAAACATGCCCTTAATTTGCATCCCTTTGTTAGCTGGAATGATTTTTGCCAGTATCAGCCCACTCCATGTTAAGTAAGCCCAGGTAACCTATCGATGTCAAATGGTGCAGACGACAGAGCCCAGTTTCTGGTCTCCAGTTCCTGGCGCAGCAGGGACCCCAGGCTGCTGGGGAGAGGCCACCGCTCTGATGGAGCCACTTAGCCACAGCCTTTCCGAAATGCGTGAACTCTGTTGTTGCCAGCAAAGAGCTCACTACCCTGGATTTATGGAGGCTGATCCGGCCTCAGGATCCAGTCTGTGGCTTTAAAACACTTTACATTCGTATAGGGCCACATAAAAAGGACCACACCTTATAACTCAACAGCGCACATTAGGTCAAAACAGGTAAATAGCCTCAAATTGTACTTTGAAGCAGTTTTTTGGACCATTAGGTGGAAAGAACAGAAACCTGCAATGCAAGCCAATGACAACAGCTGCAACAGCAGGCGCTTCGCAGGTTTTTTGCAGATGAGGTTACCAGCTGCCATGTGAATTCATGTAGGTGAATCAAAGGCAACTGCCTAAAGGCGCTGAGCTCTGTTGGGAAAACTGGGGGACAGCTCGTAGGAACACAAGGACAAGTGCAGTGCACCCCATCTTTCTACGCGGCATGACCACGTACTCTTCCTGCGGGCAGGGAGCTCGGCTCTGGTGGATGTGGAAACAGCCATGGCAGAGGGGATCCCTTCTTCAGGACAGTGCATCCGAGAGCCATGGGTGGGCTGAAGAAGCACTGTTCAGCTATTGTGTTGCTTATTATATCCCTTAAATCGTGCTCTCTGCCAAGAGTCTGCTCCAGAAGGATAAAAGGGAGTCATCCATCTATTTTTAGAAAGGGAAGCAAACATGTTTCTGGAGAGTGTTTCTAAACTGTGGTGGAGGAACCAGCACAATTGCAGGATGAAGAGGTGTCAGGCTGTGTTAGGGACGTCGCCTCACAGCCTTTTTCTCATGCGCTTCCCACCCTGCCCAGAATAGCGAGCATGCGATGAGGAAGGGCTGCATGCTTCAGCTGGGCGTTAGCTGGCTGGGGATTTCGGTGACTAGTCAGGAAAGCAACATACAGAGGAGGACCACATGATGTAAGGGTCTTCACTTTGGATGAAAAGCCAGAAATTCCTGGGTACTGACCCCAGCTGTAACAGTGACTCACAGTGTGACGCTGGGCAAGAAAGCAAGGGTGAAAATCCAGCTTCTCTGGAGGACAGCAAAGACTTTGCCATTCCTTTCAGTGTTCATTCCCCATTAAAAGGGACAAAATGTTCTAACAGAAAGGCATGTTGCAACTATAAAGTAATTTGTAACGCTCCTCCTGCTCTTAAAGGGCAAGCAGATATTCCCCCCCCCCCCCCCGAAATTATGTATTGTCTTTAGAAAACTATTTAAAATGAAAAAAACTGATTTATTTTGTTATGGGCCATCTTATTCTATTTTGGGGGGGGAGGCTGAATCTTTTTGGCTAGAGAAGAGAGAAAAACAAAGTAGTTTAACGTAACAGTTAAGTGAAACACAAGACCTTAGAATTCATTACAGGAATACTATAAAAGTTTATAAATATTTTTAAAATCTATAAACATATTTGTATATAGAATATACACACTACAGAAGATTTATATATATAAAATAAAATATTTCACTAAGGTTATGAAACATAGTTACATGTTCAGGTATCACTAATGAAAAACTCAACAAATTCGGACCTGCCATTTATAAAAATATTCCTGTGCAATGTTGAAAGATCTTAAATAGAGCATACTATAAGCTTCTGGGTTCAGATATTTTAATACATTTTTTAAAATGAGATTTTAAAAGTCCACAGATTTTGCAAAAAAATTAATTACAATTTGATTTTTCAGATTTCTCTATTTCACAGGGTCTATGAAATTCCCTTTTTCAGCTCAGTGACTGTGCTGTATATTCTGCTGGTTAAGTCCATACATGAAACAGAATTTGTATTTTTATCCATATTATGTTATAGGCCAGTGTTTGGGCTTTTTTTTCCACCATCCCCAAAAATTCTGAGATAAACAACCCTATCAGGATTATCTTCTTTATCTAACAGAAAAAGCATGCAGAGTCTAAATGTTGGATGCTGGGACATTACTCACCAAAAACTCAACAAATTCGGCAGCAAGCAAGATTTCTTTTATTATTATTATTTTAAGGCTGTAAAACCAGGGAAGTTCACTGGCAACCTAATCTGCTCCAAATGTAACAGCCTGCAATGGGACATCCATTGCATAAGGGGGAGAAAGGTTTAGCCTCTTGTAGTGCTCTTGACCTTGGGCGTTGGAGCAAAAGCAATGCTACTTGGCAGTATCCCCAAACCACTCCCTTGTAAACCCTCAGGCAACCTGACAGGTCCTACAGACAGGCTGTCCTGGATGGGTTTCGGGCTGAACGTGCTCAGAGTGATGCTGACAGCTCTGACTAAGAGGTCAACCCGTGATTAAAGTGAGTGGACCCACTGACAGGACAGACAGACAGGCACGCAGGATTCCTGTCTTACCCTACAAGTCCAGGTGGACTTTTGAGGTAGCTTTGTTTTCATCCAGCTCACAGCCAGACTCTCTTAGGGTTTCCTGGGGCTGCTTATACAAATAATACATATTTAGTAATGTTTACATCATTATCCTACAGGATTATGGGGGCACAGCCGTTAGCCATGAAGCACACGCAGACTCTTGTAGACTTTAAGCCTTCACCAGTGCCACTAACTCAGCTATTCTGCACGTGAAAAATGTACGCCTGGATGCACTAATGAGACTGAGAGGGAAGCATAGAAAAAGTGCCTGTGGGCAGAGTACCCCCCTCCACGCTGCTTTTGCAGTCTCCCCTGCTCCGTGGGACACTGAAGGATACCACCGGGATGCATCACTGCATCAGTGAAGTACAGCGAAGCTTGAATACAAAGGATGAAGCTTGAATACAAAGGGGAAGAGCTTTGACTATTTATTCTACTTAATTGTAAGGTAGTTCAGCTGTTGATTTCCCTGCTCCTCCTGCTTAGCAGCTCTGTCCTCGATGGCCTCTCAGGTGCCCTGGGTTGCTCCCTCCCAGTGGCACCCACCCTGCCCAAACTAACTTAAACAGGGAGCTCACTGATCAGTTTCTGCTTCTAATTCCTTCCAGGCAACTGTCTTAGTGTCGGTGGCATCGCAGGGTTGAAGTGAACAGAATTAAGGCCATGAACATCAAGCGTTCGTACTCAAAATGTGCAGTTGTTATGAAAGCGATAAGCTGTGGCAGGGGTGCGGTACCCATCTGCTAGATCAAGCGCAGAGAGAAATGATGTGATCCACGGAATGCGCCCGGCAGTTGCACCTAACTGACAACCACTCGAATAATTAATGGAGTGAAATAAAAAAAAGATCAAACCCAATTCAAAATGACAGAGCCACGAACTGACAACTAAACCATATAAAAACTGACAGGGCAAATAGATCTGAAGGGAAGATCTAGATGGAGCGTGCAGGGAAGCATCAGCTACTGGAAGTTCCTCCAGTCCCTGAGGGACATTTTGTGAGTGTGTGTGTGTGTGTGCGCACACCCGTACGTACGTGCACTTGTTCCCAACCACGTGGTGTCTGCAATGCAGCAAGCTTTGTGCTGTGTCATACAGACAAAGAATTAATCCTTTCCTAAGACAGGGATATTTAGTGGGTGGTTAGCTCACTGAAATCCATTAACGTCCACCCCAGGGACTGGGATGGGTGCAGAGCCACAGACAAAACACATTACTGGTGGGTGTCATTCCTTTGCGCATCAGAAAAGTTGTGGAGGGTTTGCAATCTTTTAACTTAACGTATTTTTCAGTTAATACTTAAAAAACTCCTTCAAATCAGTCAATACGTTCTTGTACTCATTTAGCAGTGACCAGGCCAGTGCCAAAGCCCTACGAGGCGATGCCAACGTTACGCGAGGTTGCTCTCATCTGGTGCTTGGCACCCCTCCATAGGCGTAGAGTTACTTCAGCCCTGTTTCCTTCTGCCTGGCTCCGAGTGCTCCCACTCAGGACAGCAAGGAGCAGTGGGCTGCCAGCTGCCCCATGTGCGTCCACATTTCAGTGCCTGCCACGTTCCACGAAGGGCTGAATTTCTGCCCATGGCCAAAGTTGCCATCTGATACACCCGCAGAGCTTGACCACCCTGCGGCTGCTGCCCTGAGCAAAACTTAATCCAGAATCCTTAGAGTTCCCCACTCCTCCCTAGTATGTGCCTGCCACTGATCCCAGCTGTCAAACACACAGATTAAATGTCAACAAGCTCTCCGTAATTGATATTAACACTGGGAATGCTGAGCTGGGGACATGCCTCCTAGGCCACTCGAATCCCCAGATTCACGTCATCCCGTAGCACCGCTCAGTGCCACGCATTCATACAGATGCCCTGGTGCTTTGAACAACACCTCTATAAAGTCAGCAGGGAACAACACTGGAGATAGCTGAAAACAGAAATGAGACGTTAGCAACTGCTCTTTGCAATTAGAAAGAAGAAGGATGGGATGGAGCATGGGCAAGTCTCAGGACTGGATGTAACAGCTGTCTCAAACTTCAGGGCATGAAACACTTGTGTATAATTCCAGGATTGGAAGATCATAATAGTAGGTATTTATTTTTTAAACATCTAACTGCTATACCTTATCACTACTCTTAGTATATCACCAGTGGGTCTCTCACATGCATTATAGTGCCCGGTGTTGCTCTTGGCAGCCTCTGGCTGTATTTCCATTAGCAAATTGTGTAGCACAATAGGAGCAGGTCTGGAGAGAAAAGAGCTCGTGCCAAGAGCCCAGCACCAACCCCTCCGCTCCTCCTTTCAGGGCCCTCCCTCTGGAGCAGCTCTGGCTCCATGGCAATGAACCAGGAGCAGTTGGGATGCACTCCATGTGCATATGGAGCTCAATCTTCCATGTCATTGCTATCCAAAAGGTATCTAGCAGATGCAAGTGAAGTACGGTGAGTGAAGATGATTACAAGATTTGCGCTCCTAATCCAAGCTGAACTAAGCCCCTAGAGTAGATGACTCCCCTCTTTCACAGAAAGAAACATTTTTCCTGAATTTCTTTTCTCCTGTGACTTCTTTTGCCTTGCTTTTCTCCTGCCGTTTTCATTCTGCTGCCCACCTCTGCTATGTGGCATCACACCATGATACTGTATCCAAAGCAGCTTCCTGGCTCCCTCATCTAGACTGCCCGTTGGCATGTGACATACCCCACTTTTTTTATTTCTTGATCAATCCCCATTTTAACTCTAAGCAGGCAGATGTTGACAGAAGATGCCAGAATGACAGTTCGGATGCTTAATGCCTTAACTCTGGAAAACTCACAGCTTTTGTATATTGCCTGCAGTCTGCAAAACCCAGAACCATTACAAGGGTGAAGGAACCGCTGATTTTCATCCACCGCACAAGGATGGAAACAGATAACGTCGACCGGTTTGAGCTCTGAAATTAACACCTGTAAGTTGTAGCTTGCCAGTCTTTGAGGGGGGGGGCTCTCACTTAGGACGAAAGGGGAAGAGGATTGCTGCTGCTCAGTCCTTGCCAGAAGGGGAGACAGTTTGGTATCTGCAGGACAGATTCCTACCATCAGCAAATTCCTAGCCCTCCTGGGTCAGCCACCCCGCACCCGGTCAGTCAAAAGGTAGGAGGGGGTAGTCTCCCCCCACAGAGTTAGGAATCGCTATTTGCCCCCCCGCAGCCTAGCTGCTGTTCCCTGGGGGAATAGAGATTAACCTTATCCCGAAGGCTTAGCAGAACTTCTGTATCTGCCCTTTTCACATGCTTTCAGGAGGACATTTTGCGTCACTCGTAGCTGCTGTTCTCCTCTTTTGTTAGGCTATTCTCTCAGGATTTATATGGTGTGTAGAAGTTTTGTTTCACATCACAATGTGTTTACGTGCAGGTCAGGAAATTCATCAGCCAACTGTCTGAACAATTAAAACAATTTTGGCCAACCTTGCTTCGCTCTGATTCTGGGTTTGGGTTTGTTGTGACTCATCTAGCTCATGTTGTTATCAACACCATTGACCACGGCTCTCTGAAGAGGGGAAACGCAGCCGGGCTTACGAAAGAGCTGCCAAATATTAGCCTCATGTACTGTACAAATGGCTGCTGTTCGTTACCAGCTGGTGAAAGCATCTTCTCTAATGATCAACTCCACCTTCATCTAGGGAGCTGCTCTGCTCCTTCACGTGCCCCTTAACCCCCTCACTCAAAGCAGCGCCGTTTGTCAAATCAGGCTGGAGGACAGAAGACGCCTTGTCCGAATCTGGCTTAATCCGTGCACGATTCGGGTCACGCGGCCTTTACCAGCCAGCGCTTGGCTGTTGTCAAAACCAGCCCAAAGCAGAGCAGGAGGGTCAGGCTCTCTGCCGGGACCGGGCTTTGCCTGAATGGCTGCTGCCCTCTGCCTGTGGAGCTGCCGGGGCCGGGGCCAGGGCCGGGGCCAAGGCTGCCGCTCGCCCGGGTGCCAGCCCGGGGTGAGGGCGAGGGCTGAGCTCCCGCTCCTCCACAGCCCACACATCCCAGAGCTCTGACTCCGGCCAGAGAGATGCTTGCGGCAGCCTGGCCGCACTTCCACTCAAGCCCCTGGGAAAAAACGCTTTTCTACCTTCGTAAGAAAGCAGGGAGCCGGACTCTTGCCAGCAGCGCCCGCTGACGGGACAAGAGGCAATGGGCACAAATTGGTTAATGTGTCCATCTGGAGACAAGAAAACACTTCTTTTTTTCCTGTGAGGGTGGTCAAACACTGGCACAGGTTGCCCAGGGATATTGTGGAGTGTCCATCTGTGGAGATACCCAAAACCCAACTGGACATGGTCCTGGGCAACCTGCTCTCACTGACCCTAAGGGGGTTGGACTAGATGATCTCAACTGGTCCCTTCCAAACTAAATGATTCTGTGATTACAGTAGGCATTATACAATAATATTAAGCATTATATAAATGCAGATATTGCTGAAAACCTCTAACTGAATAGGTAAAACCATCAACTGTAAATGCTTGCAGATATTTTAAGGGTAATCCAAAGATAACTCTTCTGTCCTGCACATCACCAAAGAAACAAACATACCTTTTTTACAACTCCTGTAGTGGCCACGATGGTCTCTGCTCCTTCTACAGTCTTGTTTGCCACTGTGTTCACGCTGGCTACTACAGCTTCTCCCACGACATTGGCCTGCTCTTTGGTCTTCTCAGCAACTGGGATTTCAACAAAAGCAGAAAGTCAATGAGCTAGGTGCTGCCAAAAGGCTGCCAAATTCACTGGGACAATAAAAGGATCGCATTGAGGCAAGAGGAGAAATTGGCCCTGATACAGTCCTTATTTGGATTTTTTTATATGAGACCACATCTGAATTTAGATCACGTACGTGAGAGTTTTGTCTGACTCAAAATGCTGCTCAGAGAGCAGCACTGCAGCCTGTCAGTCTTTGTGGGCAACTGGAGAATGAAAAACTCACTGTAAGATACAAAGAGACAATTGTGCAAATAAGGTATTTTGCATTGCAGACTGCGTATGACCTCTCTCTGGGTACCTTCTGTTTGATTTAATACAGCTGGGTAGAAAAAAAAATGTAATTGTCCTGATATTCTCCAGGGAAAGGATGCATTCATGTCTCTTCAAGGCGGTCCATACGGCTGCCCTGCCTTGGAGCTTGGGATACCTAGAAGAATCCCTTAGGGTCCCTGACTCTGTGACTACCTGACAGGAGTCTCCCAAAGACCAGTTTTGGCCCGACAGGATCTGATGCAAGTAAATCCTCTCTGCGTGCTGGGCAGCACTCTTGACATTGTGAAATGTCTAAATTGCTGTGAATCATCCAAGTCTGCCAAGTAACATTTGTTAGATTTTTTTGACATGCTCTACTGATTAAATATTTTCTCCCATCCATGTGCACTGCAAAGGCCAGACCCTGAACCATCGCTGCTGGCAAGCATCCTCCATTCATCACATGGAAGGTCACGCAAATCAGTGGCGTCACCCAGCGACCTTCCATTGGCAGGACCGACGGCCTTATCAAGAGGTCCAGCAACACATCACAGATTTCCACATCTCTATCAGGGCTGTGGTCTTACCTGAGGTCACACTTTGCACTACACCTTCCTTGGTTTTGGTACCTGTGAAAGGAAACACATGGTCTATCAGTGCTGCCCGGCAAAGAACCCCCTGGTTTCTGGACATGGATGGCTTTCTGTTCTTACGAGGTGCAGTGGGGAGCTGGCACCTCCTGCTAAGACACAAGCCATTTGTAGAGCCGGCAGAAGGGATCAGCTTCCTTCCCCAATAAAGTCAATGAGTACCTTCGTGTCAGGAGTTGGATAACTTCAATCGCAAATTGTCTGGAGATGCCTAGACCTGAAAAATCTTGATTATACCATGCTGAAGCATGAAAAATCGCCCCTGGAATATTTAAAAAATGAAAAGATGAGGCGAGTGGAGGTAAATCAACATTAAGCTAATTGTAAAAATGAATGTATATTAAGTCACCTGGTAAAAATCTCACCTACTTCAGTCTTTCAAGACAAGGAGTCACATCCCTGGCTCCCCCCTGCCTTTCAGCAGGATACTTGGCTGCAGTGGTCATTTAAAGCTTAATTCTATACTTCTAATAAAGACTCTGGAGAAACTTGAGGCTGAATTTACACAACCACCACCCACCTACTACATACCTACTTACTAGATTCCCATATTGGTGCCTCAGCCTAGGCTGTAAGTGCCTGTTTGCAGCAATACACAGAATGCAAATGTTTTTATCTCAAATTATGAAAGTACACCATATGTATGCTTACATTGTAATTTAACTCACTGTTCTCAAGGCTGAAAAGCTAACAGGATGTGAGGGCATTCCGTTTGCAACACAAGTAGCCCTTAAGGAATAATTAGTCTCTGCAGTTTTCCTCCAAGCTTGAAGTGACCTGCTATACATCCCTTCTATTTGTGTACTGCAGCACGTATGTTAAATCATATGGTAGATGGGCAGCCCCCACAGTAACTAGATGATTTTTCACATTACAGAAATAAAGGATCAAATTTATCTCTGTTGGAAGTTAAACAAACACGTGCCAAAAGGTTCCATTGGTCCCACTTTACTGTATTTTGTAAATCACCTGTACGTATACAGCCTATTTTCAAGTTTCCCATACCGATACAACAAAAGGATTTTTATGGCCAACTGTCAAAGTGATAGAAAGTCAGACAGATCTTTAACTCCAGAGGTACTGGAGCATCCATGGGTGTGGTGGGAGAAATCAGCTACAAACTACATCTCGTTCTCATTAACAGCCTGAAAAGCAAAACAGGTGCAGCGCCCTGATAACAACAGCTCTGTTCTGCCTGATATATGTTATGTATTATTGAATGTAATTCTCAATTGTTGATTTATTTTGATGGTTGTAATGGTTGCCTGGGGCAGAACAAAGCTGTTCTACTACAATATGCCCTCAACATTTCACTCCACCCTCCTGAACTGTGTTAAAACTGAAGAGGTGAAATCTTCGGACTTTATACTTGTTACTGCTGTAAACTGCAGCTCTTAATGATGCATGATACGCATGGACCGCTGTAAACTGGATTTAATAATGATGCCCATGATATACAAATGTGTACAGAAGTACAGCAGTGAGCAGAGCAGATGCAAGTCTCAAGCCATGAACGTGAGCTCCTGAACGGGCCAGACGCACACAGTTCAATTCAGACGCCATCCTGCTTCAGTTTCCCTCCCAGTGCCATTCCAATAAGACTGCCACAATATTGATTTGACACACAAGATCTTCTCACATCAGACACAATTGTTCAAGCTTAGCCCTTCTCTGCTGTTTTTTGGTCAAAGAGCAGTTGTTAGGTAAGCAAAGCACATAATTTGCTATGCTAGCCTTGCATACATTTCAATTTTGCAGTAAACATATTTAGTGAGACAAGAGCTGTACTTCTGTGTATTTTTGTACCAGAGTTTTGATTTAAGATGACTATCTGGGCTCGATTCTTTTGCAGGGGGAGGGCAGTGGGCAGGTGCCATATTTTCTGATGGAAAATAATGCCAGAAAGGAGGGATGCAGGTAGAAGAAAAACACCCGAATCCATTTCACGACAGAAGCAATGGCATTGGGAAGCGCCACTGCTACGGCTTGGGGAGAGCTCGCCTCATCTTCCTCACCCAGTCTCCTGACCACACCCAATGACTCAGGCTCAGCATCCATTATGCACCGCATGAAATCTGACCTTACAGCGTCTACCCTTGCCAGCAACCCGCATCTGTTGAATCAGAAAGCAATCACCTGATGCTCAATCTCATTTCACTCATTAGTCCTTGCCTGCGGCTTGTGTACACAGAATTAAAAGTTCACGCATCCTGCCTCTTCTGAGTGCTGTGAGTCATCTGTAAGAGCTTTGGTATCTCAAGGGTGTGATCGCAGCGGTGGAGCGCTGTGCAGTGGAAAAAGGTTTATAGTAGAAAAGAATATCATGATGTGCTGTAAATCCTGCAGGAATTCATGCTGGAGTTGGTTTGTTTAAGTAGAGCTTGGTGCGTTGGGGCTTTCTGTGACACGTGTGGTCAAAAGCTGTTCTGGAAAATTAGAAGTGCATGAGGGTTCCTGAATTATAGTATTAAACAGTTCTAACGACCCTATACTCAATACTCTGATGCAGCTTTGCATTAACTTCATTAATTAACTTCAGCATCACTTATCTCCCTGTTTAAACCAAATAAAAGAGACAGCCCATTGAATCAGCTGCTGGATACACATTAACTGTGCAAGGATCCACCACCACCTCGGCATACCCAGAGGCTGCTAGAATTTGGAGAGCTGAAGGTGATTCTACTAAGTGCAAAGGTGGCCCACACTCCAGGATTCCTCTCTCTCTCTCTCTTTGTGCACCCTCTTCTCTACCCTACACGTTCAGCAAGCTGTGCGGCGGGGCAGGAGCACCCCACGCTCGTGACTGCCCCGGCAATGGCAGCATCTCTACCCAGCCCAGCTGTGAACTGCGTTGCAGCGTTAGCACAGGAGAGAGGCATCTCCGGCCCTGGCAGGGGTTGTGGGAACAGAACTTGCGTGGCTCGGAGGGGAGGGACGAGGTGGCTGCAGTGCCCTGATGACACCCTCCGCTCCAGGTGGGTGCCTCTGAACGAGCTTTTTTTTTTTTTTTTTCTCCTGGGGCAGCAGCAAGTGACTCACCAGATGTGATGGTTGTGCCCAGACATCTGGAATCCTCCTTGGAGAGTCAGCAATGAGTTAACACAAGCCTGAATAAAAGTCAGGGATCCACTTCATCCATCCTAGGCTTTGGGTTTTTTCCTCCCTTTCCTGATGTTCTGGAAAAGACCCTCAAGCTTTTATACAAGTATTATTTTCTTCTAGCACCCAAAAATTCAGGTTGCTTCACATAATGCTCTAGACCAAGCTGCTGGGATAGGCCTCTGCAAAGGAAGGAGCAGGGAAGGAACAGTTCGGGTCTCTGATTAACCCTTCATGTGGCACAGAGTGAGAAAGGCAGCACAAACAACATACTACTCATTCCAGTTTTAATTGATATACCTGGCCTCCACCTTCTCTGCTTATTTAAAAATAAATTTGCTGAGCTCATCAGCATCTGGCCTTTACTTTTCCTGCCTGTGAAAGACTGAATTTTCCCCAAAGGGCTGAGCATCCCCCAGCGTGCAACAGGAACTGAATTAGCCCCAAGGCAAAGCACCATCCAGTGCATGACAGGGCAGGAACTGGCGGTATACCAACAAACCAGAACAAAAAAAATATAAGGAGAAAGCGCTTAATCTTTACCTTGATCCTTATTTGATCCTCATTCAGAGATTTAGGTTTTGAGAGGGCTTTTAGAAAACTTTACTGAAAAGGTTAGAATCTCATGAGCAGGCTCTGTACCTCATGGCTGTGCAGAAATGAAAACCAGGTCACAGTATGGAGACGTACGACATGACTGAACAGAGATGTGAGGAATGACATATAAAAATTCAGAATAACCCTTTCCGACATCACTGAAATCAGGAAGCAGCTGGAGCAGCAGCGATGCCACAATTTGACACCTAGATGTGATGTTTCACAGGCTGGTGTTTCAATTACTGTGGTTAGTTTAACTGTTTACAGGGATGCTGTTTACCTTTTTTCTTGTGAGTCAGCTTCAAATTGAAATGTGAACTGTTATATACATTCATTTACAGCATGCCAATAGTTGAGTATTTAAAATTTTGGGATGAAGACATTACCAGATCTGCTGCTACACGTAAAATTTGTATTTCATTTGTAATGTACAAATATATATCTGTAGCTATTGTCAATAGAGCTGTTTTAAATACAGTAGCTATGCACAGCTGTGGATGTTGCAGCATGATAGCAGGAAGAGCCCGTGTGTAAACTTTCCTACTAAAAAACCCCCTCTCTCCCACATCTAGCAAATATTAAAAGCGTGTGAAGTGCAGCAACAGCAGTGAGGTAATCCGTCTTGGGAACCTAAGACTTCATAGACTTTGTAGTATCTGGAATATCTGACCATCCAACCGTATAATTGCATGCGCTAGATAGTGCAGATAGCGGGTTTCAACAGTGACCTTGAAAGGGGAGGTTTCTGAAACAGCACATTCACTGTGAGAGAGGTCTCAAGGCAGGACATCAGACATGCTGTTTTCCAGATCCTATCCTTCGGGCAAAATGAATTCAGGTGTCTCTTGTAAAGCAAGATTAATGCATGCACCAGGAATGAAACAGGTCAGTGAACAAGAGAAGGATTTCAGGATAAAACAGTATGTTTGTGGGGAAACAGACGCATCCTGCGATCCCCACTTAATCAGGCTGTTGGCTCCTCTCCGGGACCTCCTCAGCGTGTGTCTCACAGCGTGGAGGTGAGACGCAGATCAGCAGTGCCCAGATGCCTGAAGAGCGAGTGACTCACCCTGCAAACAATCAGTGAATAGCCATAACAGAAACCTTCTACCTGGGCATCTGCTCCTTAACATCGCATTAGTTCTGCCTCCCCTGAAGTAGTGGCTGTTTCTACGTCTATTTTACAGTTAGGGAAACTGAGGCACGGGGAGGATGTGGCACCCCAGGCGACTCTGTGGCAGAGCTGAGGATGTCACCCACACCTCCTGCCGTTTGCTCCCAAGCTTTAGCCACAATATAATTTCCCCAGACTTTCTCAGAGACAATCTATGCGGCAGTTCCTGCTCAAATATAGATTGAAAATAGTTCTCTCTTACCTACATACATCACCCCTTCTTTAGTCTTCTCTGCAGCCTCCGTCACTCCCTGCTTGGTCTTTTCTGCAGCAGCCACCACACCTTCCTTAGCAATGGAGAAACCTTTCTTAAAGACATCCATCCTTGTTGCTTGCTAGGGTACTACCTGGACAATCTGAGTGAGGGACAGCAGCAAAAAGCAACTCAAGACCAGGACTGCAATAGGCAGCCTTACCCTCGGCGGATACTCGGTTTCTCTGCCAGTCTCTGCCTTTGCTCTTACTCCTCCGCTGGATGAAGGCAGTGTGGCAAACCTCACAGCGCTTGCCGGCTCTTATTGATGAAGTGCGCTGCAGTGTAGCCAATGCCTGTGAACAGCTGATACTGAAATATTAATGATACGGATCTGCTCGGGAAGATTTAAGAAGGGAGGGGGAGAGGAGGAGGATGACATCGGTAGGTAAGGGACTGTCTGGAAAATTTCCAGACAGATAAAGCTTTTAAAATATGCTGCAATGCTCTCACTCAAGGATGCTCTCAAGTGAAGAGGGAGACGTTTTATCTGAAGAGCTGAGTTCCTGAAAGGGCATCTCCCCGAGGCTGCAGCAGGAGGCAAACCCAAGCTCTCCTGGGCTCCCAGAGAGTGGAGAGCATGTAAAGCTGGTAGTGTTTGTACCAGACAAACAGGGTCAGGTTTCTGGGTCTGGCAGTTACCAGAACCCACCCTGCACAAAACGGTGACAAGAACATTATTTCTAGTAAGTACTGAGAGAAAAGGGAACCAGCTAAAGCTTGGTGCCTAGGTGAAGGGAGCTGTAAGTCCCACTTGCCATGTTTGTCAAGTCTGAAGGCATTTAGTATGAATTATGGGTTTTGTTCGGCTGCACATCCCGTTACAACGGTTCACTTTGAAAAAATCAGATGCCTGTTGGGGGAAATCCTGTTTCCTATTTGTTTCTCTGAGTTGCTGTAGACCGAGCTCTGCTCCGCCGCTGCAGAGCAAGACGACGTTTTACACCGGCGCCATCCCTCACGTTGGAGGTCTGTGCTGCCGAGCAGCGCAGGGCGAGAAAATCATCCAATGGCAAACTGATTGGGGAACCCTTACAGTTTGCATAGAGGATCCATTCAGCCTCAAGGCCTTGCTAAGAAAAAATACCAAAACATATGATCATTAATCACAGCTGGATATCCTAGTGTGCTTAAAGTTAAACTGAAGCTAAATTGTTTTTGGAAGTAGACCCTGAGTGGCCCAAACCAGTTATTGTCCCACTAGCAAACTGAAATTCAGTGCAAGCACCTGTGAAAGCAATTGCTGGTGCAACAAGGTGATTGTTTTTTTTTTAATTTTTTTGTTTTTAATAGTGCCACATTGGAGACTACAGAAGCCATGGAGCATCAGCCTCTGAGCGCAAACCCTGACCAGCTTTGGCTGCTTTTCCTTACCGGGCAAACAGAATATGAAATTCAGAGGTTTAACTGTGTTATGGGAGGGTAGCACACAGTAATGTCATGAAGTGTGCTGCTGCAAGTTACCAGACTGGAAGTGTCAGATGGGGAATGATTATACAGAAAAGCAAAAAGTCTGAATAAAAAAATAGCATGTCTGTACATACATGCAGACATGTACACAAACATAGTTCTTACTGTGGAACTAAGAATATTTCTTTAGGTCCTGGGAGTGTTTTTTTTACTCCATACTGAAACAATTAAAAACTGTTGATCTGGAAAATAACATATAAATTTCTTAATCTTTTTCTCACAAATAAGTCTCCTTACTTATAAACGAAGAACAAATTTCCACTTGAATGTAGAGGAGCCAAATCTCTGGCAGACCAATACATTTCTCAATTGTTAATTAAAAAAAGTGCAAGATTCAGAGGAAGGCCATCCACAACACACCAATTACTGTAAGAGCTCTCATTGTTCTAGGCTGTTGCAGCAAGGAATGAAAAAAGGTTTTTCTTACCATCTTTCAGAATTTCCTTTAGGTGGCTGATTGACCACTACCCAAAGTGCACAGCTGGTGCTCATTTCTGCTCCCAGGGTATTCTTAAACTGAAGATTTCTGTGTCTTATTGTGCCATACAACCAGTGGTTTAACCTAGCTGCTCTTGGATTCAGTTGCAAGACTCCCATTAATTTCATCAGGCACAGGGCAGGAGTCTTGTTTTTACTACATTTGGCAAAAAGTGAATTTACCATCTTTGGGAATTGCTACAGGGCCCATTTACTTTTTCAGTAGGCTTTCAAAGACGATTAAAGCAGAGCACATATCTTCCCAGGGTTATGGGTTTTACTGGTATTTTCAGGAGAACGCCTAGGCTGATAAGGCTAAGAAGTGTATTTTGATTTTTGTTAAGCTATTGTTCTGTCATTGTGATTTGTACAATTGAATTCTACATATTTTGCATTGCTATAAAAGGTAACAAATACATGAAATATCAAGCCATCCTGGGATATGAAACATGAATCATCAGCAGATTGAAAGAGCTGGTACTCAAGTGGGATACTCCTTTCCTGCCTTCTCCTCTCCCCATGACCTTCAGAAAGAGCTCACAAGAGGCATTTACAAGCCGTTGGATGCCTCCCAAGGCAGCAGGCAGTTCGCACAGGCATTGTTTTACCTTGAAACCCTTTTAGGAAAGCTCTGGACTCAAGACAACTTTGTAGGTGATCTATATAGGGCAAGCATCAATAATGGCTCCTGAATGTTTGCCACCCCATGGCAACTGCGGTACCCTATTTCTATTCTAAGCAGAGGATTCAGTCCTGATTTGTTGCCAATCCTGCCTCAGGCGAACCTAACAACAGGAGTTAATGTAAGCAACCTTGGCTTTAAGATTTTTCTAGGATCTCAACTTTCTGCCTGATAAGTTTTTCTCTTGTACTAGATAACATAATCAGCAGCTAAAGAGAAGCTCCTCCAGCGGGCAATTCAGAGAACCCAAGTTCCTATCTCACCTGGCAGCAACCTCTTTTTCTCTGTTATCCACCTTGGGACACTGGGGAAAAGTCAGTTAAGCTAGACGTTAAGTTCCCATATTTTTTTCTGTTAAGCTTAATTCATATCACTTTGTAAACAAATTTGTATCTCACAAACATTTAACTGATCTGCATAATACCAAAAGAAAGCCTTGCCTTGACTTGTGCAATGACAAATCATCCAACCATTGTTCATTTAAAGTCTGAATTCTGGCTGCTTAGGCTTGTCCATCAAGTCTTTTGCTGCATAACACCATAGTTTCTTGAGGGTCTCTGGAAGGTGCAGTTCCCCACCTCCCACGCACCTAAACTGCTCTCTGGGTGTTGCTGGCTAATATCTAGAAACAGGTCTGTGCAACGCCTGCCAGTAATTCTGGAATAGGGGCAAGACAAGTCTAACTCAAGTCTACCTATTACCAAAACACAGACGCACAGGAAAGAAAAAATGCAAAGCAGTAATCAAGATTCCGGGTCCTGTACTGTCTTTTTCTTTGTGTCTGCAACAGATTAAAACAGGATCTTACTTAATTTGTGTCTCTTCCCTCTTTAATTTTTCCAGTTGCAAGTTACTCCACACACAAAACCTTAACCTTGTTCTTTAATGATGAACTTACGCTGGAGACTAAGAGCTGACAAAGGCATCTTGATGGATGAAAGGAATGGGATTTGGTCATACTCTACTGAAGTATTTAAATCGTGTATGATGATGTTTGAAAGAAAGGTAAGGAAAGGAAAGACAGTTTTTGTGGCTGGTAAATATCCTTTGTTTGGGAAGTTTTTGTATGGAGAACAATATTAACATTAACAGGATCAAACCTTGCTCTATATAAACAGAAATCCTCCCTCTCTCTCTCCGTTTATGAAAACTTCAAAATGCAGAAGAACGAACTGTCTCAGATCGTTCATTTTCATGCCCTAACGAAAACAAGCAGTTCCGTCTGACATCCTCTTGGCAAGCAGTTTAGGACTTGAATCTCTGCATGTACGTTTGCATAGTTAATGAGTAATTTCCTCTGCCAGGGAACGAATAGCGTGGAGGCTGACGGATGAGCCATTTTTAAGGCACACATAGAGCGAGCAGAGTGCTGCCAGTACAGCAGTCTTTCGTGACTGATCTCTGCCGTTGAATACCATTGATAGCTTTTGAGGAAACTAACAAAAATATAGTCAACAAGAATTCATCTTCTTCCTCCGAAGGACAGACCACTGAAAGGAATCACTTCCTAGCCCAGCAGCCCTCCTCCCGACACTACTCTCCCTGTGCTCCCCTTCCCCGGAGCTGCCGCACACGTGCACGCATCGGCAGGCGGCAGGGAATGAGACAGCGTTTTCCAGCCCTAAAACCCAATGCCTAATGAGGAGTTATGCCTTTGCTGTGCAGCTACCAACAAAACTGTCCTATTCATCTTTCCGGACATAAAATCCTTTCAGTTATTCAGTCTGCTTCAGAGATTTGGAGCTGGGATATACAAATCCAAAGCAACACAAGCTTATTAAAAGAATTCCATCTTTTCTTGGCTTTTTAAACATTTTTCCAAGGCTTTCTTTTTTTTTTCTTTTAAATACACAGATTCTGAATTTAAGTCTATAACAATGAGCATTATGGAACAGGCAGCAAATCTGGGAAGATACAAAAGAAACAAACAAAAAAATCTGAATGTATTTATTGAAAATTTAATTTCCAAGGGCTCTTTCTCCAGAGAGACACTGACTGGAATAGCCAGCATGTTTGCTTTCCAAGTACGTGCAAGCTATTTATCAAGCGCATTGTTTGGCACTTTTTACTGTGTGGTCACCCACCTCCTATCCAACTGTAGCTGCAGGGCTCTGACTCTAAACAAACAGAAAGGGGCCAAGATGAGATTTTACATCTTATGCAGATTATCCAGAAGACGGTGTTGGTATCTGACAACTTGATTATGGAATTGCAAACAGGACATTGAATTCTCAGGGTAGGCAACACTGGAGGGGGTTAAGAGCTGTGGTTAATGGAAATGGTTATAATTACCAGATAAGGCAAGAGTAGTCCTGACAGCTATCTGCAAGGTCCCAGGGCATACTGAAGAATCCGGTGTAACTGGCAATATCAACTCTTTCAAGACTAGTTTGAAGACTAATTTGAATAAGTATTTCTCAGACTTACTTGGGGAAAAAGTATTTTCATGACTAAGGGCACACTAATGACTGGGGACCAAGAGTGGAGGAACAGTATCTGTCACCTGTCAAATTTAGTTGCCAAAATAAAGAGTGAGTAGAGTGGGGTTTTTTGGCTAGCTGTTCTGAGAACTGCTAAGAACTTCTGAGAAGTATCAGGGCAGCTCCTAACGTCTTCACACTGCTATTATCACGTCACTTACTGATAGGGTTTCAAGTATGCTTTTGGAGTTACACCTACTTCCAAATAATTTCCCAAACTATGTTTTAAATTTGATTTCTCTCACCCATTTCTTCCATTCCAGCAGTAGTACCGAGCTCCATAAGGTACAACAAGCCTAAACTAGGCAGCTGAAAAGCGAGTAGGTATCTATTACCTACTTACCACCAGATGTTAGCTGGTACACAGTTGCCTTTCTCATCTAGAAGTTACCTCCTGGAAGAGACTGACCTCAGAAAGCAATGAGCAAATTGTTACAGCAAATAACCTTGTATATCTGTTTTCCCTGGTTCCATGCTGAGGCACCAGCTCAAAAAAAAAAAAAAAAAAAAAGAGGCAAAGTTGTGGTATATCTTGTTCCTAAATAGGTACACTCCTCATACCTGTTCCTCTACAGATGTTAAAGCAAGAAAACTTACAGCTCAGTCTGCCAATAAATCTAATGTTATGAACCAACAGCATAACCTGAATATGTTATTCAGACACCCCAAATCAGAACAGCTATTAGGCAGAAACCTTAACTAGTGTTTAGTAAGGAAGGTCCTTTGAATAATTCATGCCTTCCATGTGTTCATGGCAGCATCCTATGCTATGCCCATCACAAAGAAAGAGATGTCAGTCCCCAGTCCCCGGCAAGCTCAATATTTTAACATCTTTCATAACTGCTACTAAAAAGTCACGCTAAATTATTAACTTGCAAATGGCTGAGCAATCTGTGCCTCCCAACTGGTGCACTCATAGGCAGCACCATTACAAAGGCACAGAGAATGGGTTCTTGCACCTGAAGAAACAGCAGATATTCCGAGCCAGGAGGATGGCAGAGAAGCGTTGCCCCACCACTTGGGAGGTATCACGTCCATGAAAAATAAAGACTTAATGGATGAATTAAGATGAATTGGAAAGGTATATATTGAAAGACAAGTCCAAAGGGTTTGGAAGTAGGTCACAAGTAGGACAACTTCAATATCTGTAGCACAAAATCACTTTTCTGTAAGCCATGATCACAGAGCAGTTCAGGCTATAAGCCTGTTTGTTTTGTCTCATGTTTGTCTCAGTTCCTTCCCGATAATGGGTCTTATTAAGTAAACAAACATAATGCTTAGGTCACATCCAGTTACTTGTAATAAAGGCACATTTGCATGTGAAACATGGCACATAAAATATTCACACATTAACATGTATTATAGCAGGATGCATGCAATTCTGAAATAAAAGCAGCAGGAAGGAACAGAGGGAAATTGCTTATTTCTTTCAGTCTTCAGTCCAGATTTCATCTCCCTGGAGAAGTGACTACAACAGCAAGAGCAGGTTTTGCCCTTAAAATTATCAAAATCTCTCTCTACCTTGCCCCACGTGCCACTGCCGCTGCCCTAGTGCTTTATTGCTCTTACACAGCGGTGTCTGTCACAGGACAGCAAGGGCATTTCTGCATTTTTCTAGGTTCTTCCATTAAGCATGAAAGGGGCAATCAGGAGAGGGGTGCAGGTCCAACCAGTGATAAAGGAGATGCAAATTCACTGCATATGCAGTGATGCCTTCAATAACAAGGCCTTCCAAAATCCTAGAGAGATTTTATCCTCTATTTTTCAGCTGGCATTGGAATGACTCCAGAAAAGCTTTATATTTAATGCTCTGCAGGACGTACTGAACTTTGGGCTGCACATCTCATCATTCAAACTGAGACACGATCTAGCAGTCCAGCACCAGCATTCCCACCTCTTTTGTCAGTGGAGCATCATTCTCCCTCATTTGATTCTTAAAAATGCCAGAGCGCATCACCCTGCAAGACAGTGAGGAAAGAAATACAGTTTATGATAGCAACAAAACTAAGAGCAGCACCATTAAGTAAAGCAAAACCAGTAAGAAAACTACATCCAACCTCCACAGGCTTTTTTTTTTAATTATTATTATTAGGATGTGGTGACAGAGGTAGCTCTTTACAGCAGCTCTTGGCAAGTGTTTTTTTGTAGCACTAATTAAAACCACACAAAAAACCTAGGTGTGAGATCCAGAGATGACAACCCAAACAGAAATTCTTAAAAATGCTCAATAATCCTGACCTCTCTGAAGGACTACTTCATGAAAATCTTCCACTTTGATGGGACCAGAGTATGATTCACAGAGCTACTTTGCAAAGGCCACACAAAAATGGATGTTTGTAAGCTCTTTTTTGCTGTGCATTTACTCCAAATCCCTTAATGCCCATAATTTGGTGTACATACCATGAATATTCTGCTGCTAAAGCCAGGGTATTTCAGCCTTTAAGTTGTAGAAAAAAAACCCACGTGCAGATACTGGAGCAAGCAGGTCTGTGACATTTTCTGGGACTGTAACGAGAGTCTGTTACACCACTCAGTATTTTCTTTCCTTTCTTTTCTCTTCCTTTCCTTTAAGCTAACATCCTTTTCCTGTGCCTGAGGGAGAAGGCAGTTGATAGAAGCTGAGTTCCTGTTCACAGATAAGTTTAGAAGGCAGCCAAGCTCAGAAGTTCCTTGAATAAGCTATATTCCTACCACCTTTTTTTTCCCCCCTCTGTCAGAGACGTTTGAGCCCCACACAGGAACCAGACTCACATTGTTCAATAGCCACGGACATTTCCAGAGTAGCTGGGAGGGTCAAAAGCTTTTTCCGCTCTTTGTTACAAATTTTTTTTTTTTTTTTTTCCTTTCCTTCTTCCAACTTTCCAGTTAAAGAATATTGCCAGGGCATTCCTGAATTAATCCAGGCTGAGCTTCAGAGAGGAGAACAAGAGACAGGTGTAACTGGGTGGGAAAAACCCCACGATGCTAGTGAAGCTTTTGCTCATCTGTAATACAATAGCATTGGCAAAGCTGGTCAAACACTCAGACCATCATGGGTATCGTGCTGGTTCAGTGCACAGCTCGAAGCCACAAATTTATGAGACCTCTGCATACCCCCAGAGGACTCCTCTGTCGCATGAGGAAGAAGGTTATTGGGAAGCAGAAAGGCTCAGGGAGGATACTCAAGATTACCCTTCAAGCGTGATCTCCTCACATCGGGAAGAGAGAGAGGATTTTGAAGCTGCAAGCCCACAGTCCCGAAATGGGTAAGTACATTAATGTGTCTGTCTTACATGTAATGATCGTGCAATCCTGCCTGATACCTTTATACCCTGTTGATAAAGGACCATTTTCCAAAGAAGTTTCTCATTAAAATATATTAGATTTTAGGGACCAATCTATAACCAAACAGGAGGAGGTTAAATGGTTTAACTACAGAAACAGAAAGCTGAATTGCTTGTGGAGGATGAAACCACCAATGGGACTGGCTCTTTGCCTAGTCCAAGACAGCAGAATGGGGTTCGGGGTCTGGACATACCTGGCAGATGTGAAGCCTTCCAGTTCTGCTGTAGCACCATAAAATAAAACACTATTTCTGGCAAAGCAGAACTAGAGGAAATTAACTTACTGACTTTTTCTCATCACAAAGCAATGCTGATTATTTTTGCTGACCATGGCAACCTTTGCCCATCACCGGGATGTGCCTGGCTGCAGACTTGGGCCTTGGAAATGGAGAGGGAAAGAGAATGGCAGGATGCTAGCAAAATAAAAATAGTGAGGAGTAAATATACCAAAGTAAGGAATAATATATAAGCATGAAAATGACTACAAGTTCAACCCCTCCAAAAGGTTTTTGTGACAATGAAATGCTTCTCATGATAATTTATAGCAGAAAAGTAGCCATCCTGCATGGAAAAGGCATGTGCTTCACTAGAAAGATTTCCAAACACTATGATTATTGTAAGTTTTACAGGGCACGTAAGTAGGTCTCTAAATGTTTAAAATAGATGAAACCCAAGCAAGACAGTGAATGAATCTTTTATAGCCCTGATGGATGGGTACTGCAGAGCCCTGTTTGGGAGAGCTGAAACAGCAGCACAGCGAGTGCTGTTCACAGCTCAGTGCTTTAGGATGCCCTGGTATTTTTCCCTTAAAATGCTCTTGAGGAAACAGAAAAGGAAGATGGAAGGAGAATACAAAACTTTGCTCATGTCATGCGTCCCTTATCATGCACACTAAAGTATGCAATCTTGTTTCTAATCTCATCTACGTGTAAAATTAAGGCCTCCCTTTTGTGTGTAGTGTGGCGAGTGTATTAAAACCCTGTTGTCCTTCATACTACATCTTCTCCAAAATCTGTACCTCCCACCATTAACCTTAAGTCATTTTCTAAAGCCCGTAAGTGCTGACTTCCAGTTTCCTGATGGGTAGTGTTCAATAATGACATGCATGCACTGTTAATTCACCAACTCCTGGTTAATGCATTTCAGACACTGTCAGAGGAAGGAAAACAAAGCCTAAGCGGTACTCTGGACTTGCACGTTATGCTGCAAGGTGGTAATCATTTGACTGCTGGTTGAAATGCCGAAAGCATTCTGAAAACTATAAGTACTATGAAAATTCAACAGTGTAAAAAGGTGCAGATATAGGTCAGCAAGATGCTGTAATATACTGTCCTAATAGGGATTTCTTCCTTTGCTATGTAACTTTGTTCAGCACCAGCTTGTGTAATTCAGTTCAGCACCAACTATTACTCATCCTAATTTCCTCCCAAGAAGAGAAATACTTCCTCCTTTTATGGAGACAGTTACATAAGAAGTCAAATCATAACATTCTTCCCAATTATAAAGCTGTATCGATGACTACAGGCAATCAGAATCGAGCCTAGCAATAGCTTTAATGTATTTGTTCTTTTGCTAGAGCCATCAAGTTTATAGTGCACACAAGCCCAGGAAGCTGGTATGTCTTGTGAAAGAAATTTGAGACTTTGAGAGGAATTATGTCCAAAAGTGAGGGGAGAAAGTGCAAATAAGAAGGGACAGCATGGCTCCCCTTGTAACTGCACTCCAAGTTCTAAAAATCATTGCAAATGGTTGCAGCAATGTACCTTGAGAGCCTGAAGTCCTCAAGTGCATGTCAGCTGCTCATGGCTGGAGTGCCCTGCTATGCATAGACAAGAAATTGTCATGAACCTGGTATTTCCTCCCTACAAGTGTGACACATGCTCTGGAAAAAACATCAAGGAACTGGGCTTATATTTCTAAAGAGGAGAGCAAGAAAAAAAGCATCAGGAGTTAATCAGGAATTGGGAGATATAGGGACATAAAAACATGCCATTAAACAATTTTCTACCAAAACTATGTCCCACTTCTAGTTTGCTTTTGAAATAAGAAAATACTTTATTTTCAGAACATACAGGAGACAAACAAATAAAATCTATGGTGACTTTGTCTCTGAGACAAAGTTTTGACTCTCACAATTTTCTAACAAAAAAGATGTGTTTTTCTCCAACCTCTTGCTATTTTCCCTATGTGTTAGGAATAGTGGTTGTTACAAAATATTCTTACATTTTTAAAAAATTCATAGTATTGTTTTTCTTATTGCAGTTATTTGAATAATATCACAACTAATACGTCCAAGGTAATTAGTCAGACAGAATTCTCTGGTTTCTACTTCAACACATCAGGTGAAATAACTCATTAGATCCCAGTCAAATGCTTGGATATATTACCTTACTAATGAATTCCTCTCAGAATAACAAGATTATTCTAATAAGAGTTTTAAAACAAGAAAATCGGTAAGAAGTCACTGGCCTTTAGGTGACTTTTTTAAAAAGAGAAATGTGTGGATAATAACCCTCTTGTTTCAACTATTCTTTTGAGGAAGAACTAGGTAACAGTTTAGTATCTCAGCTGTTGCTTATATCTGAGCAAACAGGAGAAGCTCTGCATGTTCAAAGCGGACAGGTGTTTGCACATGTTACTTAGAAAATCAAATCTATCAAAGGAGGCCAATTTTCCAAAGGAAATCACTTTTTTTTTTCTTTTCTCCCCAGCAGCTGTGCCTCATAGGAGCTGATCGGTTTGGCTTTAGATACTTAATTCTATGTCTGAGGGAAATGGATCCATGTGTACCCAAACTTTCAGCAGAATTAAAAAGGGAAATGAAAGCACAAGCATATGAAGAGATCTGTACTGTGAAATTGCTGGACTATATTAGCATCTGTTTTAGCAATAGAAGATGAAGAGTAAGAACAGTAAAAACAGGTTCTGGATTTCATATTCAGTGCCTAATACCCAAAATAGACAAGAAATACATTTTCACGCTTCATTTCCCATATAAAACGGATGCCTAATGCAGAACTTCATGGGAACGCTTGTTATTACTGGTGGCTTTCCCATGTGTGGATACAGGTAGCCAAAATGAGGCTTGAAAAGCTGCCTGGGACACGATCAGGTATGTGGAAGTTCTAAAAGTGACCCAGTAAATATCAAATAAGAGCTTGCATTAGCTTTGCATTAGCTTTGTATTAGCTCATTGCCTACTCTAATACTTACCACTAGGTGTAACCAATTCAACTGCTGTCTGATCAAGTCATATTGGAAGGGAGAATAAATATGTCAATGAGATAATACACCACTATTCTCATCCTGACAATTGCTATGTGGAAGGCATACCTCATAGTTTGTGAAAACTTGTCCTAAATTGACAAGCCACCTTGGAGATTTTTCTTTCTTTAGAGCCACTTCCATCAAATATTTGGTAGTGACACATGCCTGAACAAGGCATGGTGCTGAGCCTACCTCAGGGGAGCTGAAGGAGAGGGCCACGTAAGTATAGAGCTGTGTGCCCTCCCGTAGGCTGTACGGTTCAGACCTGGGCAGAAAGACCTGGACACACGTGTCCTTCTCCATGCAGCTGTATGGGGGCCAGGAACAGGGCAATTCTGCCTTCGAAAGGAAAGGTCCCCTGGCCCTGGAAAGACCTCTATTGTAATCACATTCAGAAGGCCTTGCTGTCACTCCCTACAAACAGATTATTTCTCAAATCAAGCAATGAACTGAAGCACCGTTGGTGGAGCACTGTAGACCAAGGCTCCTACCTTTTCTCAGCACTGAGCAGAATCGCAGCCAGCCAGCTTTAATCTAATCTATGTGCCCTCAACACCAAGAACAGTCAGGTTGACAACTCAGATTTCATGCACTTAGTGTTCATATTTCCTTAAAAAAAAAAAAAAAGTTAAATGAAGCATCTAAAAGGTGCAATCCCATCACAAGCTAGCCCTGACAGCAAAGCTCAAACCTGCCTGTACCCTCAGTTGGCCTGACCCGTCTGTCAAGTAACACTGTAAACCAGATGACTTAAGCATTCCAGGTTAAAAATAATCTTAGGAAAAAGCAGAGGTTATTTTTAACTTCCCCCCTCAGTAACCACACTGACAGTCGGTCCCCAAACAGATGGCTCGCCCAGTAAGGGAGAAATGGACTGTGGTGATGAAATGGGAAGGAGCAGGGCAACTAAAGCTGGTTTCCCCATCTATGACAAAGCGTCACAGAACTTCTCTGTCTTTCCAAAAGTGTATTCATTGCCAAGTAGCCCCTGTTTTGGATTTGCCCTCCAGTTGGGTAGGTGGTTTAGTTTTCCTTCTTTCTCTTTAATCCACAAACACACATTCAGCCTGTCATTTGTTGGGATTTTTCTTACAATTACTATGTCAGCAAAAAAAAGAAAAAGTAAAAAAAAAATTAAAATATCCCCAAACCCCACTATCTGAAATATAAATAGGAAAGGCAGAAATCTTCAGCATAAGTAAATCCTTAATTGCATTAACATGTTTTGAGTTTTGGACACAGGATTCTGTGAAGTCACCCTTGATTAGGGGGAGGCTTCCTGATGCCAGCCAGGTGCGTTGTTATCTCACTGAAACACAGAGCTCTTCCTCTAATTCGGCACCAAGACAGCCACATTTTTATGATTACCCAGTGTGTCAAAATACAGAACAACTATCCTCCAAAGGGTAGACAAGCAGAGAAAACCCCAATCAGTCTTATTCTAAAGAAAGTCAGAACAATGCTCAATCTTAATAGCTTGATTTTTTGCCTGCTTTTACAGGAAAACATCCATTGATTTAATTAAGACCATTTTCACACTGACTCATCTATTTCTTCAAAACTAGATGGGGACTTTCGTAGGAAGCTTATGGGATACTGAAATTTCCCCAACAAAGGGGCACAGAACATATGCTTAAAATAAAACAGGTTTGGAT